GCTCCAAGCTGTCAGCATAGAGCCCGATGCGGGGCTCGAACTCATAGACTGCGAGACCATGACCTGAGCCCAAGTCGGACGCTCAACCGACTGAACCACCCAGGCGCCCCTGAATATACTATAGTTAATGGAGGGAAGTGAAGGTGTCTCATTAGCGCCCTACTTGTACTCTTAGCCTTCATTGAGAGCCATATGGCTTATGTCTTCCTTCTTGATCTCTAGAATATTAGGCATTCTGAGATACCTATCGAAGGTTGAATCTATGTGGGTGCCGTTCTAACCAAATAGATGAGTTCTAGCATATTTGACTCTGAAGCAAATTCCTATTGAAGAGATCCTATTTACCTAGGAACTGCCATTATGATATAAATAGGTTTTTCCAGAAACACTCAGGACTTATGATGTAACAAAAATCATGTTTTAACAAGTTCTGTTGCATTATTCTTTCTATGTATAACTACAAATGATAAGCGTGTCTTCAGAAAAGAGTCAAGCCTATTGTATACTTGAAATTAAAGTGAGAATTGGAGGAAGTGGGAAGAAAGAAAACAATCTCAACAATAGTGGCAAAGGGTTGGTTTTTGTTTTTTTATTTTTCTTCTTGCTTCTCCCTAGCTTATTGTGTTTCAGATTTCAAGGCTTAGTCCACCTGCACGTGAATCACTTGGAGGTCAGCCTTCATCTCTCGGGGTGGAACCTAGAAATCTCTGTGAATGCCCCAGCTGATTCTAAGGCATACTAAAGTTTAAAAACCACTACTGTGGGGCACAGGGAGTGTAAATGCCGTATTTTCTGGAATTTCCCACAGCCACAGTTCTCTATTTTTTTCTTTCCTTGTAGGAAAAATGAAATTATCCAGGTATAAAATTAATTAAGCTAAATCAGTTTTGAAGAAGTTGGAAGACTCACATTACCTGACTTGCAGACTTACTATAAAGCTACAGTAATCAAGACAGTGTGGTATATGTGCAACTGATTTCGACAAACGTGTAAAAGCAATTCAATGGAGTGAGGATAAATAGTCTTTTCAACAAGCTATGCTGGAGCGATTTACACCCATAGGCAAAAAAATGAACTTTGACCTAAGCTGCACACCTTAGACAGAAGTTAATTCGAAAAATATCATGGATTTAGATAAAAGATGTAGAACTAGAAATCTTTTAGGGAAAAAACAATCAGAGAAAAATCATGAGTTCTTGGCCTCCACCACAAAAGCACAGTCCTAAAAGGAAAGAACTGCTACACTGGACTTCATCAAAATGAAACACTTTTGCTCTGTAAAAAATTTAAGAGGCGGAAATTATTGAGGGAAATTATTTGCAAACAATATATCTGATCAATCTAGACTATATAAAATCAACAATAAAAAACCATCCATTTAGAAAGTGAGCAAAAGACACGAATAGACATTTCACTAAAGAGGACACGTGGGTGGCAGGTAAGCACACGAAGAGATCTTCAACTTCATTAGTCATGAGGGAATGCAAATTAAAACCACAATGAATTACAATTACACATTTATCAGAATGGCTGAAGAAGAAATAGTAAAAATACCAGATGCTGTTGAGCATACAAACCAGATATCTCATACAGTACTTGTAGGAATGTTAAATGGTACAGCTTCCCTAGAAAAGAGTTTGGAAATTTCTAACAAAGTTAAACACACATGTGTCATACAGCCCAGCAATTGCACTCCTGGACATTCATCCCCCAGAAGTGAGACCCTATGTTGGCACAAAAACTCGTACACCAATGTTCTTAGCAGCTTTATTTAACAGCTAAAAACTGGAGACAACCCAGCTGTCTTGCAACTGAGTGAGTGATTAAAGCAAGCACCTGTACCATGGAATACTGCCCTGCAATTGAAGAAAAACAGACGACTATTGATCTACACAACTTGGGTGGACCTCAAGGGTATTACGATGAATGAAGAAGCCAGTTTGAAAATGTCACATACTCTGTGACTGCATTCTTGAAGTGACAAAACTATAGAAATGAGGAACAGATTCACGTTTGCCAGGGTAGGGACTGGAGGAAGTATGAGATACGTGCGACCGTAAAGGGATCAACATAGGGAGTTCCTTTGTGCCGATGAAATAATTCTGTATCTTAATTATGGTGTTGATTACATTATTCGTGCTAAAACTACATAGACCCACAAATGAATGCATGTAAACTCTGATGAAACCAAATAAGGTCTATAGTTTCGTTAGCAGTATTGTACCATCATCAATAATGCTCGTTTTGAAGTTGTACTAATCATGTAAGATCTTAACCACTGGAGGAAACTGGGTGAAGGGTACATGGGACGCACTGTACTATTTTTACAATTTCCTGTAAATCTATAGTTATTACAAAATAAAAAGTTAGAAGTATTAAATAAGGAACTAGGATGAATGGTACTTAATTTATGAAATAAGATAAGAGTGATAAAAAGAAAACCCAAGAGGAATAAAATGATTTGAATGTTTTCACAGGCCAAGGTTGAGCACATGTCCCTTTCCTTTACTGGGTTTCAGTTTTTTCATTTTATAAAGTTGGAGTAGATGACCACCAACGTTCCTTGAGGTTAGTGCTCAGTCTTTAAAAGTGTTCAGCAGCACAAGGAACAGTGATATAAAGATGGTGTATCATTACTTTCTCACTAATTGGGCTTACTTTCCACCAAATATTGCATTCGCTTTGCAACTCTGTATCCCCTTCTGGTTAGTAGATCATCTATTTTCAATCACAGCCAAAATTCTGATGGGAACAATGTGGACACTCCCTCTCTCTGTTTTCTCATCTTCATTCATCAGCTCATTGCGTTATGACCTCTGCCCATATCATTCCGTTCAAACCACTCTTGCTGAAGTTATCCAATGACCTCCACATAGTGACAGATGCTTTCCATACCCTTAATGAACCTACCAGTCTTGACACAGCTACTTTTCTTTGAAATCTACCTCTCTTGGCTTCTGCTATTTTCTGGTTTTCTCTCCTCTAGCTGTTCCTTCTCAAGTTCATTCATAGGCTTGTCTATTGTTGCTTACCTATATGGAGTTGACAGACAAATCCGTGTGTCCATCCAGACCTCTGTGTGAACTCTAAATCTCCATTTCCACCTGCCTTCAATCCATTTCCACTGGATCTCTTAATATATCTAAATCTGGACTCCTGGTTTTCAATCTCAACCGTATTCCTTTGTTTCTTACCTCAGTGAACAGAACAACGTTTTGCATAAAGCAGAAACTGAATAGACATCTTTTTTTTTTAAATGTTTATTCATTTTTGAGAGAGAGAGAGAGCGCGCATTAGCGGGGAGGGCCAGAGAGAGAGGGAGACACAGAATCCAAAGCAGGCTCCAGGCTCTGCGCTGGAGCTAATCTGGGTCTTGGCAGAACGTCTTGAGATCTTCCCATTACATGAAAGGATAGAGGCCTGTATAGAACTTCTGGGAGGCTGTCCTGAAAGTTACTTTTTGCCTCCTGGCAAAAGTGGGGTGGCTCACAGCTCACACCGAAGC